GCTGGGTTGGAGATTTAAGTAAAAGATGTGGCTAAATTATTCCTATCAAATGGATCTTTGGCAAAATAGAAAATTTCTCACTAAAAGCTTTTAGGTACATTTTATTGTAATGGCTGGAGGGGGTAGGGGTTGCGATCAAAGCGAATGGAAAATTTAGGTAGGCACGCGTAAAACGCGACTGTGTCAACTAAAAAAGTTTGATGTCTTGTAATACTTAAAGTAGACCTCAACACCATTGCTTAAACGAAATCTCTTTTAGAATTGACATATACGTCATTTTAGCGGTAATTTTGCTACTCGTATGTTTTCTGGCGAATATTTACTTGACAACAGTGGGTTGCTATTTGTATTCTTGTTTACCATTCTATACTCTTTCAAGCACACAACAATTTCAAATCAACAGCAATCGTTGACTCCTTTTAGAATGGTTTTAAAATCTTAAGCTGATTTAGACACATTGCATGTTGTGCTCTTGTCTAAAAGAAGATTGCAGCAAAAATTAAATTGCGCACAAGTTTTCGAGAATTCCGACAAATTGAAGACAAATCTGTTTCTTATCGATTTCTGTAAAATTATAGACGAAGTTTGTCCGGGTAACAGCAACGCAGGTCAGGCTTTCAAACTTATGCATATCATATGACAAGATCTTTATCAGATGGCAGAAGTTGCCAATTGTAAAAGAAGTGGTAATTTCCTCCTCTTTCCACGAATGAAATAGATTTTGTCAGTTTGTTCGTCATCGCGTTATGAATACTGAACTTAGTTCACTTCGACTAAAGTTTGTATTTCAGGTGAAGTTTCAGAGTTGGGCAGCTGTGATTTTCAGAGACTGTTTCACAACATCGACAAATGTTTGGTTCACAGTATTTGGAGAGCTCCTGTAAAAGATCATTAGCCACTCATTTTTTCTATATATTGAGCATTAAAAAGTGTTATCACTGGACTGTAACAAGAATGGGTAAGATTCTGTACTAGCCAAGTTAAAATATCTCTGGTTGTTTTTCGGGGTTCTCTCTTGTTTTTCCGTCACCATATCAACTTTTATTCTTGCATTACAAGAGATTCTAAAAGAGAACATAAGATTCTACGTCCCCCTTAAGGTTTCCATTGTTTACCTGAATAAGAATTTTGCCTTATCTATCTTCTTTTAAATTGCAAGATTTACATAAATGCGTACTTCGCAACTGGTTTATCTCACAGCATATTGCAGGTGTCGTGCTTGTTTAACGTCCATGCGCTCGGAAAAAAAATAAAACGGTGAGTTTGCAGGTACACATAGAAACTTGAGAGAAAATGCTTTACTATACAGGAAAAAATTAAGTCAGCACTATGGTTAGAAGATTTATTTCTGCCAATCTCGGTGACAAGACCTAATTCTAATTGCGTTTTTTGAGATAATTGAAACCCCCTCCAATTTTGTAATGCTATAATTTGAAAGCTGAAATAATTCATGGTCAAGCAATTTGAAACTTTTAACTATTTAGCACTGTGACTTCTTTTTTCAGGAAATTTGCGTTATCAACTCAAGAACAGTTCGGTGTTTTTGTCCTCACTCAAGAACTCTAAACATAGTAAGCGACAGCTCCAAGTATCTGAGGATTAATGGTGTTTTCTATAGTGTAGTCATTGTGGATTTTAATTATAAATTCGCCCTCGATATTGGGAACCATAAGATATACATGCCGACTAATATCAATTATTTATCAATCGCTGTATTTGTGTTTCGCCAGGCTTTCGCACGATTGCCCTAGTCGAAGAGGCGAGCAGTGTCTTGTTGCAACTGAAAGCTGAAAACATTGAAATACGCGAGCAAAGTATCTACCGACTAAGTAAGTACCGCTTCAGTTTGTATTTTTATCGGGCTTTTCCTCAACCTTAAAGAGTGTTCTCGTTTTCCTTTTTGTCCAATGCGTTTCAAACAGATATTCAAATCATGTTCTCAGCTAAAGTCTTCGGGAAATACCCTTATACACCAAAATGCGAGATATTTATCGAAGTGCGGGCATTAAAACAGACGAGTAAATTAACCCGTGCCCGAATATTAAACAGCCAGGGATATGAAACGGTTTTCTGATCAAAATATTGGAGTTTCCTCTAATTTTACATTCAAAGTAAACTTTCATAGATTGAAAGGGTAGAGTGATATGAATTTAAAATTCCAAATCATCTGCCGGATTTTTCTTTTTCGTCTCGGTCTTTCGCAAGCAAAATATTCTGGAAAGCTCTCCACAATTTCGGTAAGCCTCGTGGCGTTGTGAACGGGTCCAGAACTATGAATGTAAAAGCTTTTCTTTTTCAACGCGTTTATATCAACAAGACGTTGTTATCTCCTTGTGTAAATAACATCGCTTCTGTCTGTTTATTGGAAATTTGGAGCATTCACTCGTCCTTAGATAAGTTCATCTTTTAAAATATTTTTCGGTATAAATAGAAACCTTGTTTATTATTTGAATTATAAAATTTGCACCTCAATAAACAATTCAGCACTGATTACAAGTGTTCTCGGTGAGGCATTTCGTACAGAAAGTATAGCGGTTTTTGGCTTTTCGCTCTGCTATTTATTTTTCTTTTTAAGAACTTTACTTTTCACGAGTGTTCACGTTAACTGAGATATTTTGTTGGACACTAATTCAAAAGTGTCCATATATTTTTGTATGTTCTGCCCGTTGATTAAAACTATAAAGATACAGAATTGTTGCTTGAAATTTTCTAGACATCCGGCTCTTATACCGATTACTTTCGCTACGCTCATTTAACCGGCGTGAAATAATTTTCTCTCAAAATTAGGTATTTTTCCTTCCTGAATCAATGCTTGTCAGGCTCTCTCATAATAAATGATGTCTGAGGTTGTAAGAGAAGATTGATCGTCATCAGTTGTATGGCTAATAAACGGCTGAAAAACGATAGAAAGCCGTTGGCGCGCAACAGATCCAAATACTGCTCCGTATCCCTCATTGTCAGTAAATTTTTTACAAGCTACATACCTTCTAATTTAGCCACTTTTTAGTCAGATAAGATAAACCAGTAAGCCCTGAATAATAGGCCTTCTGGAGATGTAAAATATGCCACGAAATATTGCGGTATTTGTTTGAATTCATTATTTTTCCAAAGTGGCATTTTAACCCGTTCGCGTCAGAAATTTTTTCTTCCAATTAAATGTCAACCGCACGTAAGAGAACAGTGACATTTCATGTTCGATTTTGCGCCATCAACCTTTTGAAACCATCAGAAAAATTATTTACTTCAATTTCATCAAGCACGAACTGACACAAATTGTCAAGACAAGGTCGTAACAGTGGCAGCCAGGCGCAAATACACGCAGTTAACGGAAAAATGTCATGTCCTGAAACATCTTTATACAATATTTCAAACAGGCGCATTTTTTTTCTTAACTGAAACCCTCAATAGATATTTTTCTTTCGCTTTAGAAATGTGTACAGCGACGGGGCGCTCAACTTAGAATTCTCTTTCTTCTGTTGCGTGGTAACGTATCTTTGTGAACAATTTCAACAACTGGGGCAACACTTATCTTCCACAAATGATCCGGCRRKAAYMWA